TGGCATTGTTTAACATGGGTTTAGTATAATTGTAATATGGATGTTATAAAGGTGTAATAATAGTGTAATTTGGGTGTAATCTTAGTGCTGTATTAATGGTGTAATAATGGTTTAATATGGGTGTAATATTAGTGTTAGTTGATGTGTGTAGTGTGGGTGTGATAATGGTGTATTAACAGTGTTGTATGGCTGCAATAGTGTTGTTTAACCCTTCTATTGTTGAGATGTGTCGAGTTGTTCTCTGTGTGTGTGTGTGTGTGTGTGTGTGTGTGTGTGTGTGCAGTGTGAATCACATGGGGGGGATTTGGCACATAAGGGGGGGTGTAACTTTATAACAGGGGGAACACATTTAGTGTGTGTGTGTGTGTGTGTTTTTTTATTTGATCCGGATGGTTACTAATTCCTTTTCTTTATGGCGGTCATTTTAGACCGGGAATAAATAATTAAAAAGTTGACTAAATCCTCCAAAATTCAATGAAAGTGTTGATCAGCAATTGTATATGTTCAAATGTCTAATGTGAAGGATATCATAAAGCCTTAATGCAATCGATTGTAAAACAAAAAAGTTATGATTGATAGTAAATCGGTCAGATTTGACCCGAAGACAACAGGAGGGTTAACAGTGTAATATTGGTGAGATATGGGTTTAATAATGTATAAAACGTGTACCCTACATGGATAGTATTTCTGAGTGTAAAATGGAAAACAAAGGAACATAATTCTAAACATTTTTAGAATAGATACATTAGAAAAATTACAATTAAGTATTGTTTCTAATTATTTTGTAAGGTGTTGTTAAGGGTTAATAGGCATTTGTAATTAGTTTTCCCTCCTGTAAAAAAACCCACGAGTCATGTTTCACAGACTTTATTCAAGCCGACTCAGGACAGAGAATCTTGACGCAATATTCTGTACAGCACTGTTCCCTTTTTTGAAAACAAAAAAACAAACAAAATGTATGTACAAAATATGTTAAAAAAAGAACATAGACAAAGATACAAGACAAACAAAAAACAGTATTAATGCTTAATCGTGGAGGGCTGTTATAAATAGGGACAGTATGTATTTGAAGCATTTGCTGTGAGTATACAGTTCATGATGTTGTTCAGTCGATAACAAGCCAGTAGCATCATTCTTAGTTCATTCATGACTCGTGTGCCATCTGAGGCTGGACGACATCTCTTAGTGTTTCTCGTGAATAATGGGGCTCATTGCCTCCATGCAGTGCAAAAAGGAAACCAGAGAGGAAACACAAAAAACTAACCTTGACACCAACCAGTGAACAAGTAATTCAGTCTCATCACAAATAAAAAAGCTTTCACGTCTTCCAAAAATCTCTCACCAGGAGAATTCTTTCCGTTGCGTTCATTTCGATAAAGTAACATTTTTTATACTTTTTCTTTTTTATACATCCAATTGCTTTTCTTTTTTTAAATCAAATTGATTGGTTATTACAATCATTTAAGCAGACAAGGTGCCTGAAAAAAGCAGTCCAGCAAAACGAGCCAAACACCAACATACATTTCATGTCAACAAAATGTAACCAAACGTTTCCAAAGGATACATACTTTCTTCTTTTCATGGACGAATTATGTTGGGTTTCTCAATTATTTGACTATTATACTAATAAGAAAACATCATCCTTCATTATTTTTTCAAGTCATGAAACTAAATGTGTTATTAAGTGTAAGCCGTTCGACTCACAGACAAGGCAATAAGTGAAGGCAGATGAGAAGAAACACAAATTAAAGTGTAACAGGTGACTGAATATGTGGAAAAACATACTCAGGATTCTGTGTAACATTAACACGTAGCCTCGAAGCCTGCCATATACTGAGCTACAGTTATAAATCACTCATATCGACTGTGATATAAAAAACATCTCACGAGCGACAATCACAATCTTGCACATTACGCCTAACCAAAGTCTTTTGTTCTCAACGGCAATTTTGATTGTCACTTTCTGGGGTATAAAGCACATGTTGGTTCCAAAGAGAGTATTTTTAACATCTCTCTTTGTCAGTGAGAAGAGTTTTGTCCTCAGTCCGGCTTCAGTCTGTGTCTGAGACTGAGTGTGCTCACACCTCATAGACAGGATGTGTTGTTGAAGCATGAAGCAGTTGTAGTGCACTGTAGAGACAGCTAGCATGGTCATGTGAAGCACTGCAATACATAATACAAATAAAAGACAATTCATAATTCATTTTACAGTGTATGTACAACTCTGTTCAAAATGCTCACGTGAAGCGACATAACTCTTAGACTTTCGCCTTGCAGCTTTCAAACAAATTCAATTCATCTCTTCTCTTTTACACCTTTATCTTATATTGTTGCTTCCCTACATAGCCATAGTGGTGAGGTGTTGATGCCCGAGCAGACCTTTGCGCCCCCCTCCCCCCGGGTGACCCCCTCCGTTGCCATGGCCACAGTATTCTTGCAGGTTCTGACGCAGAGTAACCAGTGCAGAGCCCAGGCAGGCCCGATTGGGAGCCAGGACCCCCCCCGGGCAGCTGGAAGAGGACGGTGGCCACCCCGGCCATGCCGTCGTCCGTGGGCTCCAGGGTGATGGGCCCGACCTTAAAGGTGGAGTAAGAAAAGCCCATGAGCTGAGAGAGGAAGGGGTCGGAGCGGCAAAAGTTCTGGTAGCCGCTGTACGTGGATGGGTGGTGATGTTGTGAGGCGGGGGTGCCAGACGTGGTGCTGGCATAGTGGTGGGTGTTCAGGTAGTGAAGCGGAAGGTGCTGCCCACCGTTGCCCCCTCCACCCAGGGTGAGATGATGATGGTGGTGGGCCGTGGGTCCAGAGCCCGGGTCGTGTTTGTAGGAGACACCCCCCGCCCGGCCCCTTTGACCCACCACCACACCTCCTAGCTTGCTTGTGCGGGCGTGAGCGAGCGACACAGTGCTGCCCCCACCGCCCGCTGACGGCAGGTAGATGAGCTGAGGCTCCTCCGGCTCCAGGTAAATGGTGAGTTTAGCGAAGGGCCTCGACGCCATCTTGGTCATCTCCTGGATGTGTCGGCGCTGCTCCCGCCGGAAGTCCAGGAACTGCTTCACCTTCCACAGGAGGACGCAGACGGACAGGAAGAGGAAGAAGCAGGAGAAGAAAACAGAGAAGAAGACAAACAGGTCGATGTGGGCTTGGTCCTGTCGCAGAAACAGCAGACCCTGCGACTCCCCCTGCCTTTGGTCAGTTCCCAGCCCTCTCAGAGCGATGTAGAAGCGGCTGGACTTCAGGGAGTGCACCTCGTGAGGGAAGGTGATGACCACGCGATCTCGAACACCACGGACTATCAGCACCGTCTGAGGTTTCCACACCGTGATGTAGCTGATGAGTCCTTCAGCGCGCTCCTCTGTCATCTCTTTCTCCGCCCCTGGGGGTTTTGCTTGCAACTGAAGTGGATTGTGGGAGAGCAAGGGACCCAAGAGACTGGACGAGGCATTGGCAAACACCTTTATAGGGGACGGAGGTGAATCCTTATCTACGCCAGTCGCTGTGCCTCGAGTTGCTGGATCCTCCTCGATCTTGATGGTGTGAATCCCTGTGGATCTGTCTACGTCCACGATGAAGATGTCAGGAGAGTTGGACACGTACACCTCCACCTCCCCAAAGGTAACATCGATGGTAACCCGAATGTCCACATTGGTGAACTTTGGCTGCGCAGAGAAAAAGACGGTCCGGCCTCTGGGCAGGTTGCGGATGGTGGGGTCATGGAAGCAGTTGGTCTGGGACGTGGGGTCGAAGCAGCACTCTGTGTCCACGTTGAACTGACGGTAGCACTGACGCCCGTTCACTGGGGTGCCGTTGAAGGAGTCTTTGCACTTGGCACACTGAATAAAAGAGCACAAAAAATGTTTTGCCTTTAACAATGCAGAGAAAGAAAGTCAAAGATTATATTGTGACCAACCATGGTCAACTTCTGTGTGAATAATATGTTGTCAAAAAGTAAGTAAGTGCCTTAAGTGCATACCTGTTGCTTGTAGCAGTCTTTGCGGTCACTCTGAGCGTTGTTGAGGCAGGAGGGGGGTCTCGGTGTTGTTTTGGCAGGGGCATCCTGTACCATCGTGTTCATTACACGTGTCTGCATGGCCGTTGCACTGACACCTGCAATGCACAGGAGAACATTCACACTTAAAAGGAGAGAAAACTAAAGGGGAGAAGAGTGTTTTAGTAAGAGTGCTGCTTCTTCAGGCATTTTTGTGGATTGTCTTTTTGCAACATTTTGACATTGTATTTATCTGACCAATAGGCATGGGGAGATTTCCATCTCATTAGTAGCACGTATTTGTTGCTGTAAGACCACATAGATAAAAAGGTAAAATTATAATTTAGTAGTACAACATTCAGTATGCACAGCAGAGTTATATCACAGAGGTCAGGCATTGTGTGTAACAATGTATAATGGTGAAGGTGGACAGTGCCAAAACATTGAGTATATAGTCTTTTTTAATATTAATGTGTACGTCCGACATATTCATGGATACCAGATACGTCATTTCCAAAAGCAGCATGTTCATGGATGGTGGTGCAGGATGAAAAATGTGTCACTAAACAAGAAATAAGCTTCACATGTCAGACACTGGCTCGTACAGATGACAAGATATTAGTGAAAATGCTCTCAAATCAGTCGTCTGTTTCTTTGTTACAGGAGACTGGGGTTCGATTCCCAGTCGGGAGGTGTGGCAAGTCCAGTGAGGGCCTTTGGGGAAGACCCTTAATGCGAGAGTCAGACTGGCTCGGACGTCAACCGGGTGTTGGGGAACCAGGGAGACCTGATGAGGAATGGCTGCTGGAACAAGACATGGCTGACCAAGGCTGGAGAAAATGGAACTTCTGGACTTCTACTACACGAGTAACCCAAGGGTAAGGGTACCATGAAGAGGATGTGGGACTGATGGATACTTCAAAACCCAACATCTAGACTAAATAGTAAACAACATTTAGCTCAGTGTCCCAATATCTGCAGTTGCAAACAAACAAAAAAGACCAGAGGAACCAAAAAAAGTGTATTACTTTAATAATGAATATTGTGATGTATCTATTTTTAAGATAAGATATTAAATGCATGCTATATATTGGATTAATTGTTATCATCCTTTACAAATTCTGTATGTTCTTCCATTTTCATGCACAGTTGCATCGCTGGTGCTGGAAGTCTTAAGGTCAGTGTCTTCACTGCGGGGGGCCACAGTTGCTCAACCTGATGTTGGCCTAGGGGCTTTTCTGCCTCTTTTCCTCCTAAACAGAAAGGGAGGCAAACATGTCAGAATATTAATGTGTGCATATGCTTCTTATCATTGTATTGACAGTTGTGGAAAAAGTACTCAGATCTTAAATTGTGTCTAGCAATAGTAAATTGTAGAACAACTATGTTTCAAAGTCCTGCATTTAACAGTACACATTACAAACATAATACACTATCAAAAGTAATAGAACTTGTTATGAGCTATCTCTCAATTCAGAATCAGATACTTTAAAAAACAAAAGACATACAAAAAGGTGGAACTAATTTTACTTACTTAATGTACAGTATGTTAATGTGTATTTACTGTTGATTTGCTAATGTACAGTTAGTAGTGACTAGAACTGTCAAATACATGTAATGGAGTAAACAGCTCAAAATAGGCTTCTAAAATGTAGGGCAGTTGAAGTCAAATGTTAAACCTTAACATGGAAGTAGTAGTAACTCACACTAATTGAGTAAATGTACTTCAAAACATTTCACCGCTTAATACTGAAAAATCGAGCAAGGTGTTTTCACTCAGACATGTTTCTCTCTTATTCACATACAGTCTGTTTCCAGTGTGTTAGGAGCATATATGCAGTCGACAGGAACACGACTGAAGCTAACCACGTTTAAGTGTTTTAAAAAGGGGTTTTTTGGATTAGGGAACTGAATGATAAAAATATGTTTGCTAGCCAAATTGAGGGCTTACCAGAAACAACGTGTTGATGGCATCCGGAGTTAGATGCCAGTGGTCCAGTCTGGTTGAATCCAACCATTTATTCCGCGATAACACTCCTTTGGGATCTAATCAAATTGTAGTCCGGGGTTTCTCTGACGTCTGTCGCAGCCAGCAGAGCAACACATCCCAGGGAATGTTTTACGAGCCTCTATCGATCATAGTCTCCGAACAATGGGAGACCGAGCCTTCTACTCATTCGCCCCGCGCCTCTGGTCAGCTGAGATCTGCCCCTTCCACCGAGGTCTTCAAAACCGGCCTTAAGACCCTCTTCTTTTTCGGCAGGCCTTCCAATAAACTTTGAGCATGGTACACCTGGAGTACTGCCATTTGTATCGCTATCTCCGACTTTTATTTTATTTATTTAATTTAATTTATTATTCTTTTATTTTTAAATTATTATTATTTATTTTTTTATCTCTCAAATTCTATCAGTGTCCTTTGTTGTGAAGCGCTTCCAGATTTGTCTTGGCAGATGAGAAGCGCTATATAAAATTAAATGTATTATAGTGAGCTTTCTCTTGGATCATCTTGGACACAAACTGGTGGCGCTAGGAAACAGTGACGTCCCGCGGCCGCCATGAATAAAGGTTTGGTAATGTTGATCACATTTGTGTTTTTTTTAGGTAAACTGGTTTGATTCGTCACCCTACTTGGGCTTACCTCACTTACCTACTTGGTGTGTGTGTGCGAGCAGCAAGTTCAATACGTTCAACAACATCGATTAGCCTTTTGGTCCAAGAAAGAAAATAACCCTGTAAAATGCCACAATCCTGTAATAAATACAAAAAACCTGGAACAGCGACGTTAACCCGCTTCTGCACAAACAGTTCTGTTGCAGAGTAGCGTTAACTCACTCCTCTGGTAGAGGATGATATATTTGCAAATCTAACATAGGTCAAGGCAAGAGAATCCATTGTTTTGTGAGCAGTAAATATTACTCACTTTTCACACTTCCCCTGAAGCAGGAAGAAACCACTGAGGCAGCTCTCACACTTGTCCCCCACGCTGTTGTTCTGGCAATTCACACACACAGCATTCTCCTCAGTGGGACCCTCTGACACCTCGTTCTGAATCTGATAAAGACACAAAGAGTTTATGGGCAAGAGAACAAAGACTGTGAGCACTTTCTGGTGGATTTGTTTTTACATATAGTCATGAGAACGGCAGACACTTACGCTGCTGGTGTCAAGAGGGAAAAGCCGTGGGTTCTCCAGGGCCTTCTTATGTTCGTCTCCGGTTAAACACACATCACTGTTTCCCCTGCAAAACTCCCGACACGGACGACAAGTGCCGCCCCCCTTGGCAGAGCCCACAAACAGAGGCTTACACTTCTCACAGTGCTTACCCTGGAAATGCAAGAGATACATTTGTATTACCAGTTTGGAAATGTTTTCATAACTCTGTTTACAGTGCATGTCATTTGCTATAAGCCCTTACTATGGTGTTATTGTGGCACTCGAGGCAAACATCCGGTTTGCTGACTCCGGCGCAGTTGCTGTGTTTGTTGCAACTGCACTGAGAGGAGCAGTTATCTCCCACAAACCCGAAGTGACACTGGCAAATTCCTGGGGAAATACACGTCCCGTTCACACAGCCCTGTGCACACACCGGCTCACACTGACCAGAAACACTGTCCAGAGGGAAGACAAAAAGAAAAGATTTCTGAAAACATGTATGTTACTATGCAATGCAAGACAGTATTTTTCTTAAAGGTCCCCTATACTGTTTTTCATCGATATATTATAGGTCTCAGATATATACAAAACATGTCTCTGAAGTGTTTGGCTCCAAATACCAAACAGATCATTGTAGCATTACCCATAATCCCCTCTGTTTCAGCCCTGTTTCCAAAGTGCTGATCCTCTGTCTGTGACTTTAGATGAAAATAAGGAGGCCCTCCCCACGCCCCTCTGAGAGACATTTGGTTACAAAGAACACAATGGTGCTCTAGGAGGAGATTCAGGTGATAAGGTGGGAGGGGGGGTTATCTTGGTTGGTGATTGGCTGATGGTTACTCAAGCCAAAAACTCGTTATGACATCATAAAGTGGCCAAAATCTGATCAGTTCATTTTAAGACAGGTTTTTATATAAATGGATCAGGACAAAAAGAGAGAGAATCTTTGTTCCTGAAACTTCCAGAGTCTCTTTCCACAGAGGGGACACATGTTGATGTAGAAGAGACATGAAGAAGAGGGGACACATGTTGATGTAGAAGAGACATGAAGAAGAGGGGACACATGTTGATGTAGAAGAGACATGAAGAAGAGGGGACACATGTTGATGTAGAAGAGACATGAAGAAGAGGGGACACATGTTGATGAAGAAGAGACATGGAGAAGAGGGGGACACATGTTGATGTAGAAGAGACATGAAGAAGAGGGGACACATGTTGATGAAGAAGAGACATGAAGAAGAGGGGACACATGTTGATGAAGAAGAGACATGAAGAAGAGGGGACACATGTTGATGTAGAAGAGACATGAAGAAGAGGGGACACATGTTGATGAAGAAGAGACATGAAGAAGAGGGGACACATGTTGATGAAGAAGAGACATGAAGAAGAGGGGACACATGTTGATGTAGAAGAGACATGAAGAAGAGGGGACACATGTTGATGTAGAAGAGACATGAAGAAGAGGGGACACATGTTGATGAAGAAGAGACATGAAGAAGAGGGGACACGACACATGTTGATGTAGAAGAGACATGAAGAAGAGGGGGCACATGTTGATGTAGAAGAGACATGAAGAAGAGGGGACACATGTTGATGTAGAAGAGACATGAAGAAGAGGGGACACATGTTGATGTAGAAGAGACATGAAGAAGAGGGGACACATGTTGATGTAGAAGAGACATGAAGAAGAGGGGACACATGTTGATGAAGAAGAGACATGAAGAAGAGGGGACACGTGTTGATGTAGAAGAGACATGAAGAAGAGGGGACACATGTTGATGTAGAAGAGACATGAAGAAGAGGGGACACATGTTGATGTAGAAGAGACATGAAGAAGAGGGGACACATGTTGATGTAGAAGAGACATGAAGAAGAGGGGGACACATGTTGATGTAGAAGAGACATGAAGAAGAGGGGACACACGTTGATGTAGAAGAGACATGGAGAAGAGGGGACACATGTTGATGTAGAAGAGACATGAAGAAGAGGGGACACATGTTGATGTAGAAGAGACATGAAGAAGAGGGGACACATGTTGATGTAGAAGAGACATGAAAAAGTGGATTTTGCATAATAGGTGACCTTTACCTATACTCCTGCATTCAGTGCTTGAGCCATACATGCTGAGTCCAGATCTCACCTGCTGAGGATGTAGCCCTGTTTGCAGGTGCAGTGGTAGCCCTGCGGCTGGTCGTGGCAGTCCTGGGTGCTGTTACAGTCGTGATGGCCATTGGCACACTCATCCTCCTCTGGACAGTGGAGGAAGGACCAGCTGCTGTTCCTCAGGGGGCAAACACCCTCACTCACACCTGGGAGACAAGAAGGGAGGAAGATGAGGGGACCACAGAGCAGAAAAGCAGAAATGTGGTTTATGAAACTGGTGGGAAACGCAATCGCTGAACTTTTTTTTATTATAATTGTTTTTTTAGAATAGTTTCTTAGGTAACACTAAGCTGTCTTTGGCTCTTTTCTGCAGTAACAATGTACATTTCCCCTCTGTGGGACTAATAAAGGTATTCTGATTCTGAAGACATTTCTCACCATCAAGTCCTCCTTGTCGGCAGCCTCCGGCCCCATTGCCCCCCCGACCAGCACACCAGCCGCACTGAGGCCTGGCAATGCACTGGGAGCACTGGGTGAGCTGGGAGCACTGGGGCGAGCAGGAGTCCCCCCCGGAGAGCAGGCGACCGCACTGACCCGCCTCACATCGCAGGGGCGTGTAGGAAGGGCTCATGCACTAGAGGAAGGGGAGAATGTTCAGCCATATTTATTGATTCATTTATTTATTCCACACATGGCAGTTATTTTAAAACAAAACATGTACACTTTACAAATGATGTACACTTATAGTGGGTTTTTTTAATTTTTTTTTTTTTAATAGCGCATGGTGGAAAGGAGCAGGGAGAAGAACATCTTATTTGACCTGCGCCTTCTTACAAAAAAGAAAATTAAATAACCATTAAAAAGTCAAATAAAAGCAATATTCTTTCAGTCTCAGTTGCTTACAAATACTGAAACATAAAACCCGAACACAATCAAAAGTCAACCGTCATACTGTCTAATTACGCTTTCTTTATGCATTTTCTTAAACATTAAAATGTTCTTACAGCCCTTAAATCATTTGGCATATAAGAATACGATTTGATTAAATTAAATATTCTGTAAAGCACGTAAGGGGCGGTCTTACCTGCTGCAGAGCCATGCTCCACACACAGTGCTGCCACCCCCCATCAGAGCCTCTGGAGCCCAGACACAGGCTGCAGTTAGTGAGAGTGTGGCAGGGGGGAGGGCAGGGCATGGGGGGGGAGGACTCCACCTGCATGGGGGAGACGTTGAGCAGAGCGTAGCTGAAACACGTCCAGTCGTAGGTGGGGTTCACACTCAGGATGCGCCTCGTCTCACCTGGGGACACAGTCAGTGTTTATTATGAAATGCCCTAAAGAAATACGTTTTGATATATGATGCTGCATACATCAACAGACTAAGACACATTCAAATGGAAAATTAAAGCATACAGGTATTTTTTAAATATATTATTAAATGAAAAGTTTGTAAATGTTTATAAAAAAAAGGAATAGAGAATATAGAAAATTACAATGTAAGAAAAAAAAAAAAAATATTTTCTATTTTCAGTTCCAGACTAATCAATTGTATCAATTTGACACTGCTTAAGTTTGTATAGTATAATAATTATCATGTTTCATTTCATTATTGTTTTACAGATTCGAAATAATAATTAAAAAAAAAAAAAAAAGATATATGATAAAAAACATCATAATCTTTTCAAGGCTTTACAACACAATCACCCGTACCTGTGCGTTTGAACTGGCGAGTCCACATGCATTTTCCGGAGGAGGTGCACTTGGGGCAGTCGGACGCCTCGCAGCTGGTCTCAGTGCAGTTGCTGGACACGAAGATCTCTCTCTGGTTGATGCGACAGTCGTGTTCAGACGTGCAGCTGACAAAGCTGCTGATACAGGCGCCCTCTGGACAGTTTGTGCACCACTTACAATGTAGAGCAGGCTGGGAGGATCAGAGAGGAACAGGTTTTAGTTTGAGGAAAGAAGCTGTCTTTCTTTGAGCTAGGCTAAAGACACTTATTTATTTACCACTGGCCTTTTTGGCCCCTTAATCCTTAAATCTTCAATTCTGTATTTGCACATTGTTGTTTATTGTTGCCATTAGTTTTTCATCTTTTTACAGTCATTTTGTCTCTTTTGTCAACTCTACATACAAATTGTGATGACTTACTAGTGATTGTTTCGATGTAGGTGCATAGGATGTTACCAGTAACGGATTGGTGAATATTTTAGGGTGTCGAGCGAGGCATTCACTGCAGGTCTTAAGTCTGCGACACTGGTCCGGCTGGCGGGGGGTCGGTGAACATGGAGACTGACCACTCAAGCATCCCATTCTGATGGAGAGGGAGGGGGGGGAATGTAAGTTGGAGATACACATACAACACTTTAGAGTTTCTTTCAGCCAAAGCGTTACCTCTCAGCTGTATCAGAAGATGCACAGGCTCCCCGACACCAGACACAGCTGCCGGTGGTGGTGTTGCAGGCCTCTGGGGTGGGCAGCAGGGCGCAGGGGTCAGAGGGCACGGTCAGGGTCAGGAGTCGGCCCAGCGTGACGCCATTAAAACCCCCGGACAGGAAGAGACGTCCGCCCCAGCTCGTCATGGCAAGAGACACTGAGCGATTCACTGGATCTCCTATAACTGAGACTGAAGGAAGGAGGAAAACATACGTT